GGGGCCTGGGGCCTGTGAAGGCCCCCACCTTGCATATTATATACTGCTATAATAATACACAACTCTGAGGTAGGCACATTAACCTCATTTCACAAATCTTAAAACTAAGGCTAAAAATGGTTAGGAAACTTGAGCAAGGTAACAATGCTAGTAAGCAGTTGAACTGCCATCCAAATTGAGATTGGTCTGGATCTATAGCTCATGTTAACCATTATGCTGTTCTCCCTTTAATAATGATGGTAGTAGGTGTTCAGTAAATGGTGGACAGGTGTCAGGTACTTTACAAATACTCTAACACCCACAACAACTGTCCAAGCGGATATTAGACTCATTTTACTGATGAGAAAACTGATGCTTGGAGTGGACAGGTGTAAGGTTACAAAGCCAAAACATAGGGGTGCCATGCTTTGAAACCAGGCCTGCTAGACTCCACAGCTTACTTGTCCTAGATTATTTGAGTATGAATGAAGCCAAGAAGAGATGAACCCCAGTGTCCAAGGACAAGATGGGCAGGTTCTATCCATTCCTTGAAAGATGGGGTTCTCTACACTATGGCTGGTGTCAGAAGTCAGAAAACCATCTCTCCACAAGGAGATCTTCACACATGGGGCTGAGGGAGACTCCATAACCTCCAGTACAGTGGGAATGACCCCAATCCCAGGGGGGTCTAAAGGAAGCAGGGCACACAAACACCATGGTCTAGATAAGGAAGCCAGGGACATTGGAAGATGGTGTAGACAAGCTCATGGACAGCCATGTCCAATCAACTTTTCATTATATTTCTGAAAAATTACCAGATTAGCATGTTAGGGGAGGTCACAAAATCCTCTGGATTTTGGTACATACCAAAATCTCCTAGGATGATCTCTTAGAAAGACAGGTGAACAGTGAGTGCAGGTAGGCAAACTGGTGCATGAAATACTACTTCCCATCTTTGGGCCTTTGCTCATGCTGTACCCATTACCTGGACTGCCATCCTCTCCTCTAGTTAGTCATCCAAAAGATCCCTACTCATCTTTTAAGACACAATTTGTATGCCATCTGTTGTAAGACAACTTCCCTGGCCCCGAGCTGGGTTGTATGTTCCTTAGGGGATTTCACAGTCTATTGTACCCACCATTGTTCCTGCACTGGCCACACTGAAATTATGGTTCTGTGTCTGGGAACATACCTTGTTCATCTCTGTGTTCTCATTGCAGAGCAGGAGGCCTGACACATAGTAGGTGGTCAGTCAATTTTTCTCAACTGAACTTATAACTGGTTGCATCATTACACTAGTAATGATTAATGAATTTATGTTAGCCTGGAGAAGGAGGTATCTAGTGGTGTGTCACAGGGCTCTGTGTATACTGATGGCATTCTGATGAAATTACTGGGTGATGAAAAACTATGGGAGTAGGTTACGCATTAGACAACAGGATTAGTATCCAAATAATCATGGGCAGGCACAAACACTGGAGCCATGCTGGTCCACAAGGGGCTTAGGGGAAAAGTCAGAACTAAAACCTCACCAACTGTTGCAACCTTGACAGTGGAAAAAAGTTTTTTTGAGCTAAAACTTACCTCCCTGTGGTGTCCACCATTATAACAGCAGTTACTATGTACCATGCTTTGTACCAGCTCCTGTGCCCCACCCCCCACCAAGAACCACAGAAAAAGTCTAATGGGGATGATCTGCTTGGCCTGGGAACCGAGAAACTTCCTCACAGGGCAGGAGAAAGGGAGGTCCTAGCTGAGATCAGAAGGCTCAGTGAGAGCTGCGTCTTTGGTTTTCACCAAGAAAGGCAGAGATAATAACACCACAGTTGTGAGGGCTGTGTGAGAAAGAGGCAGGTCTACCTTCAGGAGCTCCAGGGTATAGAGCCAGTCATAGAGAACAAAAGAACTCACAGCTATACTCACTGCTCCTTCACAGTCCTCACCCTTCTGAATAATGACATCCAAGCTCCTCAGCATGCCATAAAAGGCCTTCATGCCTAGTCTAGTTCTCAGTGCAGTTTTTCTATCATCCACATTAATTAATTCATTCATTCATTCAGTTTATTCCACAAATATTTATTGAGCATTTACTAAATATTACTATGCACTGTTCTTGGCAGTAGGGATACAACAGTGAACAAAACAAAAGTCCCTGCTTTGTGGAGCTTACAGTCTACTGGGGAGAGGCAAACACTAATCACAATAAATAAATATGAAATATATCAGGTGATGATCAGTTCTTCGTAGAAAAACATAAGACATAAAGTAAGATAAGGGGATCGAAAATACTGGTGATTGGGGCTAGTTTAGATATACTGGTCAGGGAATGGTTCTCTAGGGAGGTGTCATTTGAGCATACTGGAAGTGGGTGGGCAAGCCACCAGATTATCTGGGAAGAAGACTGTTCCAGGCAGTGAGAGAAGCAAGTACAAAGGCTCTGAAAAGGGAGGGTACCTGATATGTTTGAGGGAGAGCAAGTGGGCTAGCATGGCTGGAGAAGAGTAAGTGATGGGGGAGAGTGATAGGAAATGAAGTCAGAGAGGGGCTGGGGACCAGAATGTGTAGAGCCTTTTGGGTCACAGTGAGGGCTTTTACTTTTATTCTGAGGGAACTGGGAGCCACGGGAGAATTTGAGCAGAGGAGGGACATAATCTGATATGGATTTTTAAAAAATTTCAGAGAAGAAATGGTAATAGGTATTATAACACTAGGCAAAAGAAAAAAAAGATAATTACCAGGAAAACAAAAAGGTATTCAACAAAGGCTATATAATCAGAGTGTACTATGTGGTTTAGATGTGAACTATATTTACAATGTCATACTTATGCAAACAGTGATTATTGGTTAAACAAAAATTATATAAAATGTTTAAAGAAATAACAGATGCAACCACAAAGATGAGCAAGCAACAAGAGACTATTAGGGATGCCTAGGCAGATTAGAAAGTGAAATATATGGAGCTCATACAAATGAAACATAAAATTGTTGAAATAAAAATCTTAGTGGACAGATTAAACAGCAGATCAGACATAGCTGAAGAAAGAATCAGTAAGCTGAAAACTATATCTGAAGAAATTTCCCAGAATTAAGTGCAGGAAGACAAGGAGACAGAGGATATCAACGAGATGTTATGAGATATGGAAGATATAATGAGATCCAAAATATGAGTAACTGGATTCTGAGAAAGAAAATATATAAGGAATGGGAGAAAGGCAATATTTGAAGAAATAATGGCTGAGTATTTTCTAGAAATGATGAAAAACATAAATCCAGAGGCATGAAACACATTTCCAAAGCAGAATAAATGAAAAATACATGCTTAAACATCTTAGAATGAAACTGCAGAGACCCCTGCACATCCCCCTTCAAAAAAAGAGAGAAAAGATCCTAAAAGTAGCCAGAATATAAGAAAACAAAAACACCTACAAAAAACCAGCAACTAGACTGATAGCAGACTTCTAAATATGTATAACAAACTATCTTTTGAGGATTAAAGAAGGCTGGGAGAATTTAACACCTAGAGATCTGCACTAAAAGAATATCTAAATATTATATTCATAATGAAGGAAAATTATCCTAGAATGATGGTCTGAGATGCAATAATGTATGCATGTAAATCCAAACAAACACTGTCCATGTAAAATAATACTAATGATGATGTACAATTTCTGAGATTAGAAAAAAAGGAACAAACTAACATACTCAAAGCAATAGCATGTGGTCAAGAGAGGGATGACTACAGTTGAAAGTTCCTGTGTTCTTCAAGAGGGTGCTTAACGTACAGTTTAACTTTAGATCTTAAAGTTAAACATGGATGGTAAAATTTCAGGATAACCACAGAAAGACTAGAAAAAGAATATGTAAATTCCAAACAGGGAGAAAAAATATTGAATAAGAAAGCAAACAAATCTCAAAACGGAAAAGGTGGCAAGAAAAGAAAAATGAAGCACAGAAAAGGTGGTAGGAAATAGAAATAAAAAAGTATGATGGTAGAAACAAGTCCAACTACATCATGGTAAATGTAAACAGATTAAACTTGTCCACTAAAAAACAGAGATCATCAGATTAGCTTTTTTAAAAAGGTCCAGTTATATGCCATTCCCAAGAGATATAATTAAAGCATAAGGGCATGAAAATGTTGGAAAGTAAAAGGATGGAAAATTACATACCATATAAATCCTAACAAGAAGAAAAGTTTGTGTTGCTAAGTTAATGTAAGGTAAAATAGACTTCAAGAAAAAATGCATTATCAGGAATAGAGAGGGCCATTACATATTTACCTGGAATATATAACAATTCTTAATTTGAATATTCCTAATAAAATATCCTCAAAATATATAAAATTAAAAAATAAGAACTACAAGGAGAAATAGACCAATCCACCATCACAGTTGAATATTAACATGCCACTTACAATTATTGGTATATGATGACCAAAAAAATCAGTGTAGATATAGAAAATTTGCACAATACAATTAACAAACTTGGTAATAGACATATGTAGAACTCTGTATTCAACAATTAGAGAACATAATTCTTATAAAGCACATAGGAAACATTCAAAAATATTGATCACATATTAAGCCATAATCAAGTCTCAATAAATTTCAGAGTTGTTATCACACAGACCACACCCTTTAACCATAATACAATTAAGACAGATTTCAATTACAAAGAGGTAAATTTGAAAATCCCCAAACATTTAGATATTTAAAAACATACTTCTATATAACTCACAGGTCAAAGAAGTAACCACGATGGAAATATTGAAGTACTCGGAACCGAACAATGATGAAATATGACATGTTTGAACTTACAGAAAAGCAGTATTTAGAGAGCAATTTATATCCTTAAATGCACAAATCAAAAAACAAAAAGGCTGAAAATTAATGAGCTCAGTATCCAATTAGAAAAAGAATAACAGAATAAATCCAAAAAATGTAGAAGGAAGGAGATCAAAAAAGATAAGAGCAGAAATTAAAGAAATAGAAAACAAAGACACAATAGAGAGAAGCAATAAAGCCAAAAGTTGGTTCTTTGAAAACACTAATAAAATAGACAAACCTCTGGCGAGATTGATCAAGAAAAAAAGTGAGAAGGCACAAATAACCAATATCAGCAATGAAAAAGGAGACATAACTACAGATTATATACAGCAGCGAATAAAAATATAAGGGAAGTTTAAGTCAATAAATCTGAAAATGCAGACAAAACAGACCAATTTCTAGAACGCTTTAACTTACCAAAACTGACTCAAAAAGAAAAAGAAATCCTGAATCGTCCTCTAACTACTAAAGGAATTGAAGCAGCAGTTAAAACTCTTCCTACCCCCAAAAAACGAACAAAAGGACAAAAAATAGCAGAAGGCAGAATTTTCCAGTTGCTATGTGGATTACAGGTAGGTGAAGAGATACTGATTGCCTCAGCCCTGGCGGGGGGTGTCCATGTAGAACCTAAGGCAGTGGAAACCCTAGGCTGGCCACCTCTCTCTATGGGCAGCCTCCTGGGGAGATCCTTAGAGGGCAGCCCTTAGTTCAACAGGGTCTGACAATCCCTCTGAAGTCCCTGCAGGTGGTGAGCACAAATGAGTAACATCCAACACTCACTCTCTGTGGCAAGTGTGCTAAGGAGGGCCAAGGAGGAGCTCTATCACTTGGTCAGCCTCTTCAGTAGCCAGCTTCTGTAGTCTTCTGCTCACTGAAGACAAGGGGCCTGTGGAGCTGCTGGAGGAGTCTGTTCTAGTTGCCAAGAAACACCACACACAGCCAAGTTGTGACCAGGTGGGGTGGGGGTGGGTGCAGGCAAGCCACGCAGGGGCTTCTGGAGAGTGTAGCTTTAGGTAGAAGCCCTGAAACTCTGTCTTCACAAATATCAGACACTTTTATCCATTTGCAGTTGATGAGCCCTTTTAATGGTGTCCAAGCTAGCTTCAGGGTGATGGTTCTAACAATGATGCATGTTCTGAAAATAAGAGCTTCATCATTATTTTGAAATAATATGAGAGTTCAAGTGGTTTCAAATCTAATCACATTATCACAAGAAATTTTAACAATATGAACCAAAAAGAAGAGCTATGGATATTTCAATTGTTAAACATTTTTGAAGAATTGAAATATTGGTTTTAAATACTTTATCACCTACTGGTACACAGAAAGATTTTTGTTGATGGTGACTATTAAAATTTTGAAGAACACATTAAAAAGTCTTGATCAGGGGCCGGCCGAGTGGTGCGATGGTTAAGAACTGGCTTGGGACGCCAGAGGCCCCGGTTCGGATCCCACATATGAGGGCCAGTGACACTGCCCTCTGCAGCTAAGATGCTGAACAACAGCTCAACCTGGAGCTGGGCTGCTGTGAGTCGCCGGCGACGGCGTAGGCTGCAGCCCCTGTGGCAGTGGGTTGCCATGGGCTGCCGTGTGTGGCCAGCAGCCGCAGTGAGCGGCCGTCCAGAAGCCGGCGACTGATGTGCCTCACCCGGGAAGAGCGCAATGATGGTGCCAACTTGGGCCAGTGAAGCAACGTCCTCCACAACTAGACTGAAGAACAAAACGACAGCAACTTGTCTGTTCCCCTTCCCCCAATTCCCCAGTGCTGTTCCCATCCCCCAAAATCCCCAATAAAAATCTTAAAAAAAAAAAAAAGTCTTGATCAGAACTTGTGTGTAGCCATTTCAAGCATAAAACCTGATATAAAATAAACATATTATGGAAGCAGATGTCAAGGTTCTCATTTAAAAATCTGAAAAGACTTTGAAAGTTTAATAGCAATTCAATATTAAAAAGGAAAACACCAGACCAAGATGGTTTTACAGGAAAATTCTACCAAACAGATCACTCTAAAGTGATCTTCTAGAATTCTGTAAAAGAGGGAACACTGACTTATCATATGCTACCAGCAGAACTTGAGGCCAAAAGCAATAAGGACAGCATGAGAAAGAAAAATTAAAGACCAATTTTACTCATGGACACAGACACAAAAATCCTAAACAAATATTAACAAACGGAACCTAGTATTGTATAAAAAGAAAAGATCAGGACCTACTTGTGTTTATACCAGAAATGCAAAAGTGGTCTAACATGAGGTAAATACATAGTTTTTATCATATTGTTACATTACTAGAGGGAAAAAACCCATAATCATCCTAAGAAACAGAAAAGATATTGGATAAAAACTTCAATACCCTTTCATGATTTAAAAACAATAATAAAAACTTCTTAGCATAGAGGGACAGGATGGAACTTGTCATTCTTAATAAGGAAAAGTTAGTGGCGTTCCCTGTACAATACCCAACAAAAGATGTCCACTACCATCTTTTCTATTCAACACTGTACTGGAGGTCCTGGCCATCTCAGTAAGACAAGAAAAATAAAGGCATAAAGATTGGAAAGGAAAAAGAAAACTCATTATTTATAGCTGATACAGATGTCATCATAGAAAACTCAAACAAATATACAGACAACCTTGAGAACCATGGCTCCTTGAGAAATGGTTGAGTCTAGGATTGGGGCAGGAAAATACAAGATGCGTAGGAAGCATCTTGTAGTGCAAGCAAGTAAGGAAATGCTCAAAAACAAAAAGATGGGGGCGTGTAAAAGGGACACAGGAGCCAACCTGAAAGAGCCCCTAGTGGCCAAAGCTAGAACAACTTGAGCAACAAGACAAATAACAGTATTGGATTTATAACTCAAATTATTAAATGAATACACGAGTTCATACTGATATAAACAAGTAACTGAAAAAATAAGTACATAAATACATACATAAGTAAATAAGGGAAAAGAAACAAATCTTTTTTACAGAAGAATTCCAAATAGTATATGTAAATACACCCCCTTCCAGAGGTGGAGCTTAATTCCTCTCCCTCTCCTTGACGGTGGGCTAGATTCTTCCAAAGAGCAGAGAATGAAAAGGAAAAAATAGCAACTTTACAGTGGATGAACCTGTCAAACACCACCTTAACCAAGTAATGAAGGTCAACATCACCAGTGATGTCACAGGGATATCACATACCCCTGATATGATGTGATGAAAAGGGCACTTCAACTCTGTGATGTTTCTTCCAAAAACAATCCCAGTCTAATAATGAGGAAAACTTCAGACAAATCCAAATTGAGGGATATTCTACAATACGCCTCAAAAGTGTTAAGGTCATGTAAAACAAAGAAAGACTGCGAAATAGTCATAGACCAGAGGACACTAAAGAGACATGACAACTTAAATGCAATGTGGTATTTTGAGTTGGATCCTAGAAAAGAAAGAGGGCATTAGTGGGAAAGCTGATAAATCCATATAAAGTCTGAAGTTTAGTTAATAGTAATATACCAATATTGTTTCCTTAGTTTTGACAAATATACCGTGGTGAGGAGTATACAAGAGCTCTCCAGACTATCTCTTTATTTACTTTTCCATAACTATAAAATTATTCTAAAATTAAAAGTTTGCTTAAAAATCAAAGTTTAGCAAGGTGAATGGTTATAATATAAATATTAAAAAATAACTTCATTTCCATACCCCTGCAAAAAGAAAAAACAGATTACATAAAAAGACCTCATTTAGCAGCAAAAACCATAAATACCAAGGAATAAATCTAACACAAGATATGCAAGACCTTATGCAGAAAATTATAAAGCTCTACCAAAAGACATTCAAGAATTTATTTAAAATGAAAGGATATATCATATTCATAGCTAGGAAGATTCAACATCATAAATATATCAATCTCTTCAAAATGATCTATAGATTCATTGCAATGCCAACATTTTTGTAGAGCATAACAAGCTCTTTCTGAAATGTGCTTGAAATAACAAAGGGCCAAGAATATATGATATTCCTGAAGAAGAATAAAATGGGAAGATTTTGCTCTATCAAATATTGAGATCCTTTATGAAGCTAAAGTAATTAAGGCAGTGTGGTACTGGTTCAGGGACAAAAAGTTGGCAAATAGCAGATATCCCAGAAACAGACCTATACAGATATGGAACTTTGATGTATGACAGAGGTGGCAATTCAGATTATTAGGCTATCCATGTGGAAAATAATAAAACTGGATTCCTGCCTTATACCCTTATACAACACAAAAATCAATTCCAGTTAGATTAAGGACTTAAATGTGAAAGGTACACTTTTATTTGGAGAAAATAAAGAATATCTTTAAGACCAGGTTAGAGAACATAACACACAAAAGTTGCTACCTATAGAGAAAAGATTGAATTGTGTTCAACTCAACTAAATTTAAGAATTTCTGCTCATGCAAAGACACCATAAAGAAAACGAAAAACAAGCCACAGATCGAGGGAAAATATTCAACACATATAACTGACAAATAATGAGTATCCAAATAATTAAATAACTCTTACAAGTCAATAAAAATAATAAAAATACCAACTTAAAAGTGGGCAAAAAATATTAATAGTCATTTCACAGAAGAAGAAACGTGTGGCCAATAAACATGAAAAGATGCTCAATCACATTAGTGACTGGAAGATGCTAATGTAATCCACAATGAGATATTACTTTACATTCAATATAATGACAAAAATTTTAAAGTGTGACAATATCAAGTATTGATTAGGGTGTGGATTAATGGGATTTCTTATAAACTGCTGAAGGTGTATAAATTGGTACCATAAGTTTAAAATACATTTTGGCAGAATCCCGTCAAGCCGAATGTTTACATATCCTATTAATCAGTAATTCCATTACTAGGTATATACCTTAGAAAAGTGGGTGTGCATGTGTACCGGGAGACATGTATAAGAATGTTCACAAGAGCAAAAAACTGGAAATGACCAGTTTTTTTAAATCAGTATCCATGAACAGATAAATGGACAAATAATTTGTTTTACCATCACCCAATGAAATAGTATACAGCATTGAGAATGAACAAGCTACAGCTACATGTACAACATAGGTGAATCTTGGAAACACAATAATGAGTGAAAAATATAAGTCACAGAAGACCACATAGAGTATGACACTATTTTTCACAAAGCTCACAACCAAGCCAAGTGAACAATATATTGGTTAAGCATCTCCCCAAATATGAAAAAAATACATATACCAAAAGAGTAAGGGAATGTTAAACACAAGACTTAGGAGGGTGGTAATTTGTGGCAGGTAGGTGGGAATGGAACCGAAAATGACACAGGGATAAATGCTATTATTAATGTTGTTCTTGGTTAAAGTTGTGAATTCTTGGTTTTTCATTATATTATTATCTTTATAACTCATGTATATAATGTGTATATATTCTTTTATTATACATCTAATGCATTCTATATGAACAAACCGAAAATGGGAGAAGAGTAGGAAGAAGTAAAGAATGACAATTCTTTTGGAGAGTTTTGCTGTTAAGGGGATAGAGAAATTAAGCCATAGTTGCAAGGGGATGCGAGATGAAGAAAGTCTTATATTTTTTTAAAGATGGGAGCAATAGGAAATTAATGGAATGGCAGCATGAGGACTTTGGTGAAGTAGCTATCCACTAAAACAATGAAAATATGGGCAAACCAACTAAAGTCAATCATCTCAAAACTGTGGCAATTAGCCAAAGGCATAGATGAAATGAAAGTCATCTATCCAAGAGAAACTACTGAATCTTGGTAAGGCAGCAGATTCTGTGACATTTTAACTTGTGGCTATTCCCACCTTCTCTCTCTCTTCAACTCAGCAGTTCAGTAGCCAAAAGCTGACTAAATTCCAGACAACAGAGAGATCTGACTGCTTTGGCCAGCAATTTAAAAGGAAATCCTGGAGAATGAGATAACTAAAGGGAATTTTGAAAACCTCTGACATACTCCTGGGGATCTAAAGGGATGTGCATATGGCTATGTGCATGCCCAAGAAAGAAATGAAAAAGGAGCTCACATCTGTCTGACTGGGAGGCCCTGTGTGAGCAGAAAGTGAAAGCTAAGGTTGCCTTGTAAACTGGCTGAAGTTTGAAGGCATGCCTTCTCACATAC